GAGAAAATCTTAGAAACACAACCTACGTACACTGAATCAGGAAGAAATAGAAAATCTAAACAGATCGATACCTAGTAGGGAGAATGAATTAATAATGAAAACAAGCTAACAATCCCCCAAAAGAAAACCCTTGAATCAGAAGGCTTCAGTGGTGAATTCTACCTAGCAAACGTGTTTGGGCTCCCTTGTCCATGTAAATAACTAGAGTCAGTGACGAAGAGTCTATTGACACCGTCCTGGAAGTGCAACCTGGCTTGATCCTGTGAAAGAAATAGTCCTGTGGGGTGTTCTCCTGGGATCCACAGCCAGCCACAGGGTCCCAGACAACCCAATAGGCCCAGGGATCCCTGGATAGAAGGTCGTATTCAAAATGAGAGAAATGGGACATGGGCCATCTTCTCTAGGTTTGGGCAGCTTCCCAGGAGGACACTGCTAGTCCTGGTTTACCTCAGGCCATGGAAGGGGCTTGGGAAATTTCAAGGTGGGCATTCCAGAGCATGGAGAGTGCTCAGAACCTCCCAAGGGTCAGTGTCCACATCACGAAGCAAGCCCCAGAGCCTTTCCTTCTGGTTATCTTAAGTGACTTTCAAAATACAGATTTCCTGTAGTTTGAAAACCATTCTCTGCACATTTCAGTGCAGTGTAAATTCCAAGGGGAGAAGGAAGAACATGGGAGGTCTGTCAGAGGAAGGCATTAGTGTCACACAGCACATTTGGGCAAAAGCACAGAGCCCCCTATTCTATGTTGAATGGTGATCACTCTGATGCTGTAGAGGGGTGGCATGTATTGAAAGGCTTGTCTGGTCCCTGTAAACTGTTCTTACATGGACTTATGACTCTCTTTTCTGTATGGAGTGCTCATCATTCACATAGGATTATCAGGTATTCTGGGGTCTGGGTCACATGATGAGGAAATCATAGAGTAATATCTTGCACTTGTGCCTACTACTGATCCAGCAGTGGCCGGGAAGATTATGACCTCCTGATAACATTTTCTGGGTAGTGAGGACTACCTAGGATGGACTTTTCTATCAACTGTCTCTATACCTATTGATGAACCCAAAGATCTTTTAGTTTTCAACCTAAAGGAAAGCAGTAATGCCAGTGGCCTCAAAGGCACAAGCTAATGGATCAGAAGTACACAGACTAAGGCAGACTGCCTTAGGACATGCAGGATGCTGTAACAAATCACCATTGATTGGGAGCTGGGCGGCTTATAAATTGCTGAAATGTATTTCTCTCTCCGTCCTGGAGGCTGGCAAGTCCAAGATCAAGGTGCCAGCATGGTTGGCTTCTGGTGAGGCCTCTTCTCCCAGGGTGATTCCCAGCTTCTCTCTGTGTCTTCCCATCGCAGAAGGGCTGAGCCCGCTTTCTAGGGTTCTTTTGTAAAAACATGAATCCTATGGTCAAGGGCTGTGTCTTCATGACCTCACTCCCAAAGGCCTAATCATCTTGGGGGTAAGGTTTTCAACATATTAATGTTGAGGGGACACAGACAATCAGACCATAATGCAGACGGGTTGAGTGTAAGAATTTTCCCTCATTGAAGATATTGTGGTTTTTCTGATAGGAAAAGGACACAGTGACGTGGCCCACTTTGCTTAAGAGCAAGGGCCAAATATTTTGAATCACATTTATTGTTAACAGGAAGAAAAAAATAACTAACATGTCATATTGCTGATTGCCCCTAGAATTCCAAGTGACAATTTTCCCAAAGGACTTCCTACAATAGCCTGGTGTGGTGGCACATACCTGTCTCCCAGTGGCTCAGGAGGCTGAGGCAGGAAGGATCAAGGTTCAAAGCCAGCCTCAGCAACTTATTGAGGACCTAAGCAACTCAGTGAGACCATGTCTGTAAATAAAATATGAAAAAGGCTGGGCATGTGGCTCAGGGGTTGAGCACTCCTGGGTTCTATCCCTGGTACCAAAACAAACACGCAAACAAACCCCAATACTCCCTACAAAAGGAGATAATGAAGGTAAAAGCTGTAAAAGTTGAAATCATTAAAATCACAATGGAAATTTGATACAATTGTATAATTAAAACTTAACTCAAGGACAAGTTCAAAAATATAGATTCCCTTCTGGGGTTTGTATAAGGAAAGAAGAGAAAACACAATCTATACAAAATGAATGATCAGAAAGAATGATATAAGCACAGAGTAAGGGAAAATTTAAGGAATTAGAAGAGCATGATGGAAATCTATGGCAGCAAAATCAAAATACCAGTAAGAGTGTAAGTTGTGGGTCTTATGTGATAATCTGCCCCCAAACCTGTCACTTCCTAGCTGTGTACTTCCCAGTCCAGGGCGACTTCTACAAAGGGTTTCACTCTGTTTCCCTCAGAATTCAGAATTTGCTTACTCCTGCATGGGTCCCATTCTAATGGCTCTGTCAGTTTTACAGGAAAGAATTTCAGCTTGGAAACCAAATGGCCACTGTGGACGTAAACATCAGAATTGATTTTGAAACTGATTATAATGAGCTGGTTTTAGATGTAGGAAAAGTCACTCTTGGAGAGAGGAATAGGAACAGTATGAAGGACAAACAAAGGAGAAAAAGGCAGAAAGAGGCTGTCTCATGAGCCATGTGTGCTTTGCTGAATTCTGGAGGAGGAGTTATCAAGGCTGAAATTGAGAATACAGAGTACAAGTATAATGAAGATGGAATAGGAGAAGATTTGGAAATATCTTTCAGCGATATGCTGCCTCGTGTTCTAAATTACCTTGACTTCATGCAGAATGCTAACACATTTTTGATTTTTGTGAAATCATGGAGCTTGGATAGCTCTGGTCAGCAGATTGTCACGTTGAGAACCAATCTGTATAGCAAAAATATAACATCTACAATTGTCATGGATGGTACCCATGCACTGGCTTTCCTCCAAGAGAAGAAAACTGGATCCAGATTATTTTCAACACCAAAAACGAATGCAATGAAGGTCCCTACTGATGTTCATGAAGAAAGTAGTGTGGTGGACTCACCTTCAGAGTTTTTTAGCAAGACAAAACTTACATACAGAAGTAAAGTCAACTTTTCTGAATCAACACTTGTTGCTACTAAATTAGTCCCAGATTACGATGTGTTTGGAAAAAAAGAAAAAAGAAAAAGAGAAGACGTGTTGGAATTCATTAAAGAAGAGGTACCTCAGTATGTTTCTGCATTTGCAAATACTGATGGGGGATATTTGTTCTTTGGTATAGATAGCCAAACAAAAGAAGTAAGTGGCTTTGAAGTACAGCCTTGGTGTCTTTCTGAGATAGAAAAGACAATTAGGGAGCTTCCTGTCCAACATTTCTGTAAAGAGAAGAAGACGATTAATTACTCATGCAAACTCATTGAAGTCCATGATGAAGAAAGACATCGTGGCTACGTCTGTGCACTCCATGTAGACAGATTTTGCTGTGCCGTATTTGTTGAGGAGCCTGATTCTTGGCATGTGAAAGGGAACCAAGTGATGCGGTTTACCACGGAGGAATGGATCAAGTGCATGGTGGATGGTGAGGCAGGTTACGGAAGGGGGATTAGCAATGAGCATACATTTGGCCGGGGTGGTTGGGAAGGTGTGACTGGAGCAAGATCAGTATTCCTGAGATGTCAGTGCTCAATTTAACAGTCTCTAGTGGATCCCACTGGGAGTTCACCACCTCTTGTTTTCCTCTGCCCACTTAGAAGAGACATATTACAACTAGCTCCATGCTTTGGTCAGCTTTCCATCACAATGACACATTTCTGAGATAATCAACTTAGGAATGGAAATGTTTCTCTTTTTTTCTTCTAATAATTTGGCTCACAGTTTTGGAGGTTCCAAAATGTATCGGCTGCATTTCTTTTTGAAACAGCCCATTATGACAGGGAATGTGTGGTGGAAGAAAATTGCTCACTTGATGGCCAGGGAGTGAAGGTGAGGACAAAGAATGGTCAAGGGTTCTACAATTCCCATCAAGGGCAAAGGGTGTAAGGAGGAGGGATCAGGCTATCATAATCTACTTTAAGGGTCTTCTTAATTCCCACTTGAATTGCTTATTAAGCTCTGATTACAGCACTTGGGGCTCTTTATGAGACTTCTACTAGGCCCCACCTTTAGATGGCTTCACCAACTCCCAATAGCACTTACTCTGGGAAGTAATCCTTTAACACAGGAATCTTTGGGTAACAGTTCAGTACCAAACCATGATATTCTGCTATAGCCACCTGAAAGGTTCATGTCCATCTTAACAAAGCAAAATGCACCCACATTTTGTACACAAATTCCAAAGAGTCCCAACGTTTTGACAGCTTTGGCATTGCTCAATAGTGTAAGTTGTGTATGCTGAGACTCAAGGCAGTTCAGCTTTAGGATGCTATAAAAATTAAGTTATAACAGTATGTTACTTCTGATTTGAAATAGTAAGTAGGAACAGGGTAAACATTCACAGTTCAAAGGGGAGGAACAGGAAAATATCAAGGAGGTTTCAGACCAAAGCAAGACTGCAACCCAGCAGGGCATACACTAAATCCTACAGCTCCATGTTTGGCATCTGGGCACACTGCCCCTGTGACTGTGCTGGTTGCAGGCTACCTGCTCACTCTCTTGGGGTGGTATTGTATGCTGGGTGCTGCTTCTTTTGTCAGACATTGGTCAGTGCTGGTATCTCTTTCTCCTTGGGATCTACACTGCAGCCATGCCTTCACAATTCCCAGAGAAAGAGTTCCTTAGGCTGTCCTGGGTCACAGGGTGCCCTGGGACTGTTTTCTCAGTCAGTCATAGAGATGTCACCTTCCTGGTAGTTTATTCTATTTTCTTTGTATTTGTTGACGTGACTGTTCAAAACCCCCTTGCAGAAGCCAGCTCTGTCTTGATGTGTGTCATCGAAACACATTCTGTGTTTATCAAAATACTTTGATGTTTTTGCCATTAATTCTGTCAAATTCGTAATCCTCAGAATTTGAGTAGACTTTTATTGATGAAATAGGCGCTCCTGTACATGAAAGTAAGAGCAAACTAATTCAGTTTAGTTGAAGCAAATTATGTTGTCTATATATGTCCCTGGGTAGCCTAGCTTGAGTTGTAGCTCCCAATGTGGCTGTATTCAGTCACTGAAAAATCACAACAGTCCCCTACATCTCTCATTACCTTTTTTTGTTGTTGATGATGGGTAACTGACTTATTTCCTGGGTTCTGCCTTAAAAACAGTGTCATCTTGAATATTCATGTGTAGTCTGGGGCATGGGTGAAAGTTTCTCTTGGGAGCACACTTAGTAGTGGAATTGCTGGTTCAGGAGGTGTGAGAATATTCAAGTAATAGGAAAATGCTGATTTTTTTTCAGATTAGACAGGTCATTTTACTCCCATCAGGAATATATTAGAAATTCCACATTTCCTCCAATTGTCAGACTTCTCTTCGTTTTTCTGCCTCTCTTCTCTTCTTTGTCTGTTCCATCAAATGGGTACAAGATAGTATCTTTGTGGCATGAGCTTTCCTGTTTATTAATTTGGTTGATCATATCTTAATGTATTTATTGGTTCAAAGTACTTTACCTTTTATGCAGTGCCTGTTCTGTCTTTTGTCTATATTCCAATTAGACTTTGTCCTTTTCTTTTTGCTTTGTTAGAATAACTTACAGACTGTAGAATCAATCACCTTGTCGTCACAGGTGTTACAGATTGTGGATATCTTCTCCAAGTTTCTGCTTGGCATTTTCTCTTTTCTTAAGGCCTATTCTGATAAGTAGTAGTTTGAAATTTTAAGAGAGTCAAACTTACCAGTTAAAAATTTGAAGTTTGGTGCTCTTTGTGCCTTATGTGAGAGATGCTCCTCTACTCTAAGGTACTATAATGTTTCCTTTCATTGTTTTCTGGACACTTTAGTTTTGCTCTGAGCCTTTTAATTTTAAATATTTAATTCATTTCAGTAGACACTGACTCGGAGTGTTATTTCCTCTTGTTCCATGTGAAGAGCCATTTTCCCACCCTCACCACTGATCTGCCCAACCGTCTCCAGTGTATTTCTGCATACATCTATGGGTAGCTGTGGTTGTAGAATTTCTTTTATGTTTGGTCAGTGTGTTTCTTCCTACAGAATTGTGATGTTAAACTGAATATAAATATCGGAAAGAGTAAGTCTTCTTTTTCTCTTTCTTTGAAAATATATGGACAGTTTTAGTCCTTTAACCTTTCATAAATTTTAGAATCTACTTGAGCACCTTAGAAATGCCTTTCTGGATGTTTATTGCAGTTACATTAAATATATAGATAAATTTAGGAATGAATGACACATTTCTATCAACCGGTCTTTTTATCCTTGAACATAGGAAATCTGTTCATGTATTTCTATCTTTTTAAAAAAATTCATTGTACATGCTTTATCAAAACGATACTTGTATTTACAGTTTCTGCAAAAAGAGTCCCTTGCAAGTTACCCTCACACACCCAGACACACCCACACAGACATCCACACCATGACCCTGCTCCCACACTAGTGAGATGTGAGGGTCAGACTCCTGAAATTAGGCCGCTGTTGGGGGATAAGAGTTGTTGATTTGTTTTTTGTTTTTTTTTTTTTTTGAAAGAGTAAAGCATGGGAAGAATGTATTTGGCCATGACATTGCTAACTAAGTTCGGGTATATTAACATATATGTCAGTTAACACTGACTATTCCTTTTGCATTCTATATACACAGAATGACATCAAGGTTTTGTGATCAACAGAATATTCCAACTTCAGTCTCAATGCTGCTTGTAGTGACTTCTGAATTCATGTGAAGGCTTACCCTAATAATAATTCAAGTCTATGGACATGAAATAAGGCACAATAAATATTGATTTGACCTAGAGGAAGGAAGGAAAGGAATAAAACTGGTTTCAAATGATCTCAATTGGGAAACTGCTTTGACTTGAACTCACTTAAATCCATTCTAAGTTCCTAAGATTTCTTAGAAATGTTTTTTTTTTCTTTTCCCTGACAGAGCCCCCAAAAGAAAAGTTTGGGAATTCACATTTCCATGTTTCAGTAGCCTAAACTACTCAACTCATGTGTAACAACCTCCTCCCCTGCTCAGGTCTCCTCCTTCCTCAGTGCTCAAAAACACCGAGTAGCAAATACACATCCGGTTGTCTTTGATATCTTAAAAAAGGGGGAGGGGAAGGAAGGGAGAGTAGGAAAGAAGGGAAGATGAGAAGAAGGGAGGAAGGGAGGAAGCGGGGAAGAGAGGAAGATAAAAGAGAAAGGGAAAAAGCTAAAAGTAGCAGCAACAGCAAAACACGAAGCCACTCAGTGAGACCCTGACTCTAAATAAAACACAGAACAGGGCTGGGATGGGGCTCAGTGGCCGAGGGCCCTGGGTTCAATGTCTTGTACCAAAAGAAAAAAAAGAAAGAAAGAAAAATGGGCTGGAAGGAAGCTGGGGAGAATGCTTGCCTAGCAGGCGCTAATCCCTAGCACCAAAAACCAACCAGACAAGTAAATCATGGCTTCCAGAAGACGGAATTCCTGAATTCTCTTCCCATTCTTCTCCTGAACCAGTTTAAAAATCTCTTTCATCCATCATCAGGGAGATGCAGAAACGAGTCAGCCTGAAAGTCCTCCCAGTGTCACACGCAGTCACAGATGGCGAGCCTGCTCCCACCAGCGCCCAGCGGCAAAGCCATCACGAGCTGCCTGGGAACTGGACAGGCACAGATTGGAGGGACGTCAGTGTGGAGCCCCGAGTCTCCACTGGGGGACCTCTGGGCTCCCTGGGAAGCTCGGCAGTGTCTGAAGATGATCTCAGTTATCACAACTGGGGTGGGGAGCGTGCCACTGGAATGGGGTGGGTAGAGGCCCCAGGATGTTGCTCATTACCTTATGTGACAGAGCTGGGGATGTGGCTTGGTGGCAGAGCACTTGCCTGGCCTGCAGGAAGCCCTGAGTTGATCCCCAGCACTGAAAAATAAAAAAGAGAGAGAGAGAGAATTGTGCAGCCCCACATGTCAGTGATGCTGAGATAGAGAAACTTTTAAAAGAAAGAAGAAACAGGATTTGCCAGGAAAAATAAGGAGGAAAGCACATTCCAGGAAAATAGGAGGACTGCAGGGTGGGACCGAGAAACTGGAAAGGTGACCCTGGCCTTGAGCTCGTTGTGTCTTCCCTTTGAACCTCAGTTTTCCTGAGCAGTGACCCTGTGACACTAAATGACTCATATGTTTTCCTGGTATTAGAAAAAAGTGCTACCGATAAAAAAGTTATGTCTCTGGGCCCTACCCCCTTCCTGTTGCCCTACTTGTCCCTCAGCACTGCTGGTAACCTACTCATGAGAACAACGTGGCAGGTAAAAGTGCTGGTCAGCCAGGCACGGAGGCCCTCGCCTGTCATCTTAGTGGCTCATGAGGCTGAGGCAGGAGGATCGCAAGTTCAAAGCCAGCCTCAGCAAAAGTGAGGCCCTAAGCATCTCAGTGAGACCCTGTCTCTAAATAAAACACAAAATAGGGCTGGGGATGGGGCTCCATGGTCAAGGGCCCCTGAGTTCAATCCTGGTACCAAAAAAAAAATACTGGTAACAGGAACCCCAATACTGTCCAGGCAAGTGGTGCACACCTAAAATCCCAGCAACTGGCTCAGTAGTAGACCACCCCAGGGAACTAACACACACACACACACACACACACGCACGCACACACGCACGCACACACCCCAGATGCCATGGTATTTAAATTTTTTACATAACTTGAGGTCTGGGAATGGGCAGTTAAGGCTAGACAGCCACTCCATGATGCCATTAGAAACCCAGACTCCTTCTATCTTTCCCTTCTCATATCTGTAGTACATGATTTATTTCTTCATGCTTGCAGAATGGCTGCTGAACCTTCTCAATATTTGGAACTTACATCAGCATTCCAGGCAAGAAAAAAAGCAAAAAGGTAAAGCCAATAGGTGAAAGGCTTCCCAGCTGAGTCTTCTCCATTGAACAAACTTTCCTAGAATCCTCTAGGCCTGGGACTTCCGCTTATACATTGACCTGCACTGTATTACGTGGTTATCCATAGCTTCACGGGGATGGGTAGGCTCTGTGTTTTCAGGTGGGCACTTTGAACAAATCAGAGGGTTTTTTTGTTTTTGTTTTTGTTTTAAGAATTAAATGGAAGAATTACTTTAAAATTTAGCCGCAACCCCAGCCCCAAATCAGTGTTTTTAATAAGGAGAGAAAGTAGACTAGACACAGTGTAGGCAACTAGAATGCAGCCTTACTGCCTTCAATGAGTTCATGCTAGGCTCTTACAGTGAGTTCAAGGTAGACCATCTTGATGTTGAATTCTACTTTCAAGAGAATGGTATTATATAGCAATCTTCCAGAGTAAAATAAAAGATGTTTTGTCATTTAAAGTATATTGCATCTGGATGTGGTGACACATGCCTGTCATCCCAGCAGTTCAGGAGGCTGAGACAGGAGGATCTTGAACTCTAAGCCAGCCTCAGCAATAGCAAGGTCCTAAGCAACTCAGTGAGACCTTGTCTCTAAATTTTTTTTTTTTTAAATAAAGAGCTTGGGGTGTGGCTCAGTGGAAAAGCACCCTGGGTTTGATTCCTGGTACCAAAAAAAAAAAAAAGTATATTGCAGACCTGATTGGGGATGCAGTTAGTAGTGCACTTACATAGTATGTATGAGGCCCTCGGTTCCCTCCCCAGCCTTGGGGGGTAAACTGAAGACATTCTAATAGTTTGATAATTATGCAAGGGGCTGAGGCTGGGCTCAGTGGTACAGTGTGTGTCTAGCATGTGCAAGGTTCTGGGTTCCCTCCCCAGCACCAGTTAAATAAATAAATGATCCTTCAAAAATATTTATTTCAAGTTGGGTGTGGCGATGAACAGTTGTAGTCCCAACTACTTATGAGGTTGAGGCTGGAGAATCACTTGAGTCCAGGAGTTTGGGGTCAGTCGGGGAAACATAGAAAGACTCTGTCCCCTCCCCTGACACACATACAGAAAGAAAAAAAGAAAATCCCCAAACAAATAATGACAACAACAAAACGCACACACACACACACACAAATTTATTGAGTGCCTTGTATGTACACAGCATTATAGTAAACACAAAAGACCACAGAGAAGTATAACCATGGATTTTGCTTCTCATGAACTTGTAGAAATCCAGTTGGAAAAAAACAGCATAGGCAAAAGAAAGTTGGGTAACAGTGATACAGTTAAATAACAACCTGCAATAACAACATAAGAAAGCAGTAGATTGCCAGGCATGATGGCACATGAGCATAATCCCAGTGGCTAGGGAGGCTGAGGCAGGAGGATTGCAAGTTGGAGGCCAGCCTCAGCCACTTAGCGAGGCTCTAAGTAACTTACGGAGATTCTGTCTCAAAATTAAAAAATAAAAAGGAGTGGGGATGTATCTCAGAGGTAAAGCACCCCTGGGTTAAATCCCCAGAACCAAAAAAGAAAGAAAAAGAAAGCAGTATGTTGTTTTCTAATTAGAAAAATCATTTTGAAAAACTGATAGTTTCTAAAAAAAAAGTCAAACATACTTCTACCATATGATTCCACAATTCCATTCTTGGTATTTACCCAAGAGAAATTAAAATAGAAAGATTTCTTCCACAGCTGGGAGCAGTGTTGCACACCTATAATCCCAGGTACCCAGGAGGCTGATACCCAGGAGGGTCACAAGTTTGAGGCCAGCCTCTGCATTTTAGAGAAACCCTGCTCAAAATAAAATTAAAAAGGACTTGGGGAGTAACTCAATGGCAAAGCACTTTCCTGGTATATGCACAGCCCTGGGTTTAATCTCTAGTAAGATGGAAAAAAAAAAAAAAGATTTATTCCAAACAAAGATTTGTACACAAATGTTGACAGCAGTTTTATTCACAAACAGTGGAAACAATTTCATTTCAAAATCTAAACCACAATAGTTGGTCTTACTTTTCAGGAATAAAAAGTGATTCAGGAATAAAATATGGGGGTGTCTGTTGAAAGAAGATGTACTTGGTAAGGAGGAATGTTCTCTAGATCAAACTTGTTTTTTTTTTAAGTTGTTGATAGACCTTTATTGTTAATTGGGCTATTCAAATCTTTTTTGTCTTCTTTACCAGTTGATTCTGAGAGCGGTGTATGTGTTCCATTGAGATTGTGGAACTATCATTTTCTTCATTGATTCCACTCTTTCCTTTATACTTTTCAAAATAATGTTGCAAATAAAGATTTACACCTGGTAATTGGTAACTTCCGGGCACCAGGGATTGAACTGAGGGGCACTCAACTACTGAGCCACATCCTCAGCCCTATTTTGTATTTAGAGACAGGTCTCACTGAGTTGCTTAGTGCCTTGCTCAATTGCTGAGGCTTGCTTTGAATTATCAATCCTCCTGCCTCAGTCTCCTGAGTTGCTGGGATTATAGGCATATGCCACCATGCCCTGCCATATATGTATTTTCTAAAAGCAGTATATAGCTGGATTTTGGGTTATTCACTCAATCAGAGCTTCTCTCTTTTGAGAATATGATCCTTTTACATTTGTTGTTGTTGTTCTGGGGATTGAACCCAGGGGTGCTTTACCACTAAGTCACATCCCCAGACCTTCTTATTTTTAATTTTGAGACAGGATCACACTAAGCTGCTTAAGACCTTGCTAAGTTCCTGAGGTTGGCCAAACTGGTGATCCTCCTGCTTCAGCCCCCTGAGTCACTGGGATTATAGGTGTGCATGACCGTACTTTGTCATATTTGATTCTTTATTTTTTTAGACTTATTCCTGTAACATGGAACATGATATCAGGTGAGGGTTTTTTTTGTCTTGCAAATTCAAAAAATGAGATCTACAGACAGGTGGAAGGTAGAGTAGCAAGATTTATTTGAAGCAGAAAAAGGATCCTGCAGTAAAGAAGGGCTCCAAAGA